GCGCGCCGCGATGGATACTATATTTCGAGGGACGTGTCGCGCGCCGCGACGGATACTATATTTCGAGGGACGTATCGCGCGCCGCGATGGATACTATATTTCGAGGGACGTGTCGCGCGCCGCGACGGATACTATATTTCGAGGGACGTATCGCGCGCCGCGATGGATACTATATTTCGAGGGACGTGTCGCGCGCCGCGACGGATACTATATTTCGAGGGACGTATCGCGCGCCGCGATGGTTACTATTATCGAGGGTTGTATCGCGCGCCGCGATGGATGCATAGACAGATATTTCCCACATGGGTCCCGGACTGAGAGACAATGGGTGTGTATCATTAGGTCAAACATGCATCACTATACTTGACATTGCATTTCATTGCATCGCACTTCTTTATTATTGGTGAACTTGATCTTGTGTGTTGCTGATCTTGTGAGTGTCTTTCTATGGAACTTGTGACTGATGAATATTGAGCTTATTGTTGAAGATATGCAATTGTTAGAGTGTTGTTGTTGAGGATATGAAACTATTGTTGTTGTTGAGGATATGAAATTGTTAGAGTGTTGTGTTGAGCTATGTGTTTTGTAAACTGTGAACTGTTATGATGAACTGGTACTAAGCAGGTTGTAGTTGTGGAGGTGGTAATTGATGAATATTAAGCTTGTTGTTGAGAATATATGATTGTTAGAATGTTGTTGTTGAGATATGTGCTTGTAAATTGTGAACTGTTAGGTTGGGTTGGTTTTATACAGATTGTAGTTGTGAAGGTTTTGTCTGGGGTGTAAGGAGTACTTGTATTCTATCCCCTTAGCTCGTGTTTAGAGGTTTACTTGCTGAGTACCAAAAGTCTCATACCCCCACTCACACTAAGTAGAACTCTTTGAGAAGTCATAAGTCATAAGTCATAGTTCATGATCATGTTCACAATAATAAGTCAATATATAACAAGTCATTGGTGCTCTCACGGAACCCAAACCCAAACAGTTAACATATCGGAACATGGCAACCGATCCTATATTTATGCCGGTGGCAACGGATCCCATAGTTATGCCAGAACATGGCAACTGATCCAAGTTAGTTATGCCGAAATGTGGTAACCGATCTCATGCATACACCACAATCACAATCACAAGTATATCATCAAGATCATACATTTAAGTCATGATTTCATGGCATTCATCAATTATCTATCTCATTTACAACCAGTGTGATCAACATTGCAACATTCATACATATACATGTATCATAATAAATCAAGAACAAGCATACATTACACAATCATAGAATCACATCCATCACCTACCTCGAATCCAAGCTTAAATCCCCTAAGGCACTTAAATCTTCCCTTTCCGAATTCTTTCCGCTTGTTCTAGGTCTACAAACAACAATTTATATGCAAGGATCAACAATCAAAGATCTAATTATTTGGATTATAACAAACTCAATAACCCTAGACCAAACCCAAGATCCTAATATCCAATTTAGGGCTTTTCAACCATAAATTCTAGATCAAAACCCTCCCCCATTGATAATGACCCACTAGATTACATTTTACGGATTGAAAAACGGATTCAGGGAGTTAAAACCTTACATTTAGCCTCAAGAATGGTGAAAAAATCAATATAGTATTTCCAAGGCCTACCACCCCCTTGGAGAGGCGAAAGAGGTACAAACCCCTCAATGTGGTTACCCGGGCCTACCACCCCCCGAGCTAGGGACCAAGGTACAAACCCCTCGATATGGTTATACGGGCCTACTACCCCCCGTACTAGGCAACCAAGGTACCAACCCCTCGATACGGTTATACGGGCCTACTACCCCCCGTACTAGGCAACCAAGGTACCAACCCCTCGATACGGTTATACGGGCCTACTACCCCCCGTACTAGGCAACCAAGGTACCAACCCCTCGATACGGTTATACGGGCCTACTACCCCCCGTACTAGGCAACCAAGGTACCAACCCCTCGATACGGTTATACGGGCCTACTACCCCCCGTACTAGGCAACCAAGGTACCAACCCCTCGATACGGTTATACGGGCCTACTACCCCCCGTACTAGGCAACCAAGGTACCAACCCCTCGATACGGTTATACGGGCCTACTACCCCCCGTACTAGGCAACCAAGGTACCAACCCCTCGATACGGTTATACGGGCCTACTACCCCCCGTACTAGGCAACCAAGGTACCAACCCCTCGATACGGTTATACGGGCCTACTACCCCCCGTACTAGGCAACCAAGGTACCAACCCCTCGATACGGTTATACGGGCCTACTACCCCCCGTACTAGGCAACCAAGGTACCAACCCCTCGATACGGTTATACGTGCCTACTACCCCCCGTACTAGGCTTGGTCGACTCGCAACACTTATATAGAGAAAATCATATACATGTATCCCTTTCATCATCATTTCAATAATTATATAACCATTCGATTCATAGGACGTATATTGGACCTTCCATTTCCTAAGAATTCTATAAATGACATTTTATCAAACATATGGTGGGCTACTTGTTCATGTAAATAAAATCATGTGTTTCAAGAGTACTAAGTCCAACCAATTCCGAAATACATATAAATCAGCCCACCAACAACATATATATATATATATATCAACCTTCATAATTTGATCATGGAAGCATGAAAACCATAAGCATCACATAATAATTCCATTTCATGATAATATGCAAAATAGACCATAATAGGGTGTGTAGTAGTAATTCCATACTTCAAGAGTTCATAAATAATCATAAGGACCCATAAAGTTGAAGTAGAAATAGAGGATAAATGGTTGGACTTGTGGACAGGAAGGTTTCCACAATCAACCCACATACCTCAACTTTGGAGAATCCTTGATGAAGATTGGAATGGAGAATTGAAGCTTGAGATTGAGTCTTGAATCCGGAATTAGAGCTTGAGATGTTTGAATTTGGTTGAAGATCTTGGTGGAACTTTGGAGAGGGCTTAGAGAGTGTTTTGAAAGTAAAAAAAATATGACTAAGTATGAGACATTTATAAAAAACGTCCCCAACCCGCTAAAAAAAAGCTTACTGGAATTTGCAAATCTGCACAGACAGGTTTTACAAAAATGGTCATAACTCCCTCATCCTAACTCGGAATGAGGTGAAACCAAGTGCGTTGGAAAGCTAACTCAAAGAGCTTTAATTTAATAGGTTGTGGCCCTTCCAGTTCCTTGTGTGCTAAGAGATATGCCCCTTTAAAGTTGACCCTCCAAATCGCATTGTTTGCGATTTTCGAATTTTGATACGGTTGCTCTAAAATTCGGGTTAGACCCATTTCCCACTCAATTTGACCCCCTGAATAAGAATATGAAGTCGAATTTCCGAAATCATGCACGGATTTTGAGATATATGGAAATTACAATTATAGGTGTTTCCGAAGCACATTTTCGGGCATTTTTTTTTTGGGGTCGTTTCAAAAACGGTCAAGAAGTCGCCTGGGGTAGTCTCCTTAGCTCTAAAAATTGAAAAGTGCCAAATAAGATCGTTTAGAGGTTTATTAACGATTTTAAGTCGCGTCTGGCCTGCCAAGACGGACCCATCTCGCTACAACGGCCCTGCTCTGGCGTCCTACACGGAGACAGAATGTTACCCGTTCACGCTAAGATCATTTTCGGGTGTTCTCGTCACCCAAATTCGATTTTGTAAAGTCGTACGGGTTCCTTAACGTCTTAGTTATCTACTCATGTGGTCCAAATCATAATTAGATCTCTCATTAATTACCAGATTTTCCTATACCTTAATGACTCCGATTTTGTCCAAATTTGGACTAGGTTGGGAATTTCAAGTTACTATGAAAAAAAATTCTAGCCCCAATTCTTTCTTCATTGACTTATCCCTAACGACGGAATCAGGCTGTTACATTAAAATTGTTTGAAAATAAGGGTGGAGCTTGGTGGGGGTTTGGATGAACCTATTTTTTTTTTTAATCTTGTATTTATATTAGAAAATTAAATAAATATATATCTATATTAACTTGTGAACGCGAGCAATCGTAAGGAATGGATCATGATTGTGGATATGTTTTCCATGCTAAAGTTGTGGTTTCGAACTCCACTATCAATAAAAGTTTCTTTTAAAAAGAAGAAGCATGCTTTGTAATATTTTTTATCTTTTGTCCAAAAATTTAAAATCCACAAACTCCTAATTTTGGCGCCGCCTCTATAATGGAAAACATTTTTTCTGGAAAAACTAACTCCTTTAAAATGAGGAAAATGACTTCGCTAATGAAGGTTGAGAAAACAAACTTCATCCTTTCAATTTCGCCATTAATGGTTGTTTCGCTTCCTTTTTTTTCTTCACTTTTGTTATTTCTTCTTCATCAATTATCGCTTCAAGCAAATTATATGTCAAAAGACTCGAAATATCGAGAGGATTTCATATCTAAATTTTGAAACTATTAAAAGTGATTTTAAGTTGATCGAAATTGAATCCGTTAGTGTATACTTCATATATATGTATACTTCATGCATAGTTAAACTATATTCAGTTTTTTTAAGTGTACATTAATATATAGTTAATACTCCCTCCGTCCCTATTTAGTTGTCCATATTTCCTCTTTTAGTTGTCCCTATTTAGTTGTCCATTTTGACAAATCAAGAAAGGACAACAAATTTTTTCCTATTATACCCTTATTTAAATAAAGTTGGCATAAATAAAATAAATAAGCTTATGAAGTTCTCAGCATTGATTAGTTATCTTGAATGAATTTATTTTGGAATTGTAAATTGTACTACAAGGGTAAAATTGTAGCTTCACTATGCTAATCATTGTTGTCTTAATCTGTGTGCTATTTCTAAAGTGGACAATTAAATAGGGACGGAGGGAGTATATAACTCATGTGTAAGTAAGTTGTATTGTATAACTATTGACAAACTACTATATTGTATATTTAATGTATCTTTTCTTATAACTTTCGGTTATTTTTTTTATATAAATAAAAACATAACTATATTTATTGTAAACTAATTTCTATTCCACTTTTAACAATTGAAAAACAAACCTATAAAAAGAGAAAGGAGGCATAAATCTTTTTTCTTCTGCAACGCCGGTGACTTTCTCTAAATTCTCCGGTGATTTTCCCCAAATTCTCCGGTGAGTGGTTATATGTTCTTCGCTATGCTTTACTGGAGACAAATCAATTTTTATCTCGGAATGGAGAAGTATTGTGAGATTGCCTATTACCTGTTTGATAAAATGCATGAATTAACTGTTTAATTTAGTTGTGAGATGCCTATTCCTTATTTGCTTTTGTTTGTGATTTTGTTTTTGGAATTCCTCCTGGAAAATGCCTAATTGAGTTTATTTGCTTGTATTTACGTTATATTGTGATTATCTGAGATTTAGAAGGATTCAAAGACTGATCCCAATTGATAGATGAAGAAGAAGAAGAAGAAAAAGAAAAAGTCTTTTAGAAAGGAGATTATATACAGAGAGTAATTGTAATTGGTATTCTTTCCAATCATTTATTTCTTAATGAATATTAGCTAAACTACCTGCTAATTACTTTTAGGAGGAGGATTAGTACTAGTTAATTCTATTAGGTATTTAATCATGTAGCAAGCTAGAAGGACTAAAATGCCCCTGCTTCACTAGGTGATTCCTCCTTCAATATTTCCCCTCAAGCTAGGTACTGTGAAGATGTTGAATAGTTCTAGCTTGAAGCTTAAGTGTTCATGTTGGCCCCTGGTAAGTCCCTTTGTTAATATGTCAGCAGGTTGCTCTTGTGTAGTTATGTAGTTGGTAGCTACTAGACCTTGAATGATCTTCTCCCTTATAAAATGGCAATTTATCTCGATGTGTTATGTTTACTCGTGATATACAGGGTTAGCTGCCAACTGCATTGCAGCTTTGCTGTCACTGTAAATGTTTATTGGTGACTTGACTTTAATGCCAAGGTCTTTCATCAACCCCATTAGCCAAACTAGTTCAGCCACAGCTGTAGCAAGGCTTCTGTATTCTGCTTATGCTAATCTTCTGGAAATGGTTGACTGTTTTTACGATTTACAAATAATGGTTGAGTCTCCAAACTTGACGAAGTATCCTATTTCTGATTTTCTGGAATAAGAGCATGCAACCCAGTCAGCATCACAGTATGCTGACAGTAAGACCCCTTGTCCTGATTGTTTTTTGAGGTATGTAACAACTCTGAGGGCTGCTTCCATGTGTGACTTATTAGGTGCTTGTAGAAATTGGCTTTGTCCTGATTGTTTTTTGAGGTATGTAACAACTCTGAGGGCTGCTTCCATGTGTGACTTCTTAGGTGCTTGTAGAAATTGGCTTAGAGTCCTACGGTGTAGGAGATGTCAGGCCTTGTCATAGTAATATATAGAAGCTTACCTATTAATCTTTGATAGGTAGTTTGGTCAGCAAGAGTTCCTGCTTTTCTATTTTCTGCTTGGTTAAGATGATCGTCATACTCCTTAGTGGTGAGCTTAACACTTGTATCCGTAGGTGTCATGGTAGGTTTAGATGCCCCTAGTCCAGTTTCAGAGATAAGTTCTAATGCATATTTCCTTTGATGCATTAGAATCCCTTCTTTAGATCCAGCAAACCCTATTCCAAAGAAGTATTTAAGATCACCTAAATCTTTCATCCTGAATGTCTTTTGCAGTGTAAGTTTTGTGTCTTCAATCAGCGTTAAACTATCACTTGTTATACGCATATCATCAACATAAACTAATACTATAGTGGTACCTTCTGTAGTTTTCTTAATGAACAATGAGTGGTCATGTTGACTTTGCTGAAATTTGAACCTTGGAAGTGCCTCAGTGAGCAAGACATTCCATTGTCTTGGAGCTTGTTTCAATCCATACAAGGATTTTATGAGTCTGCATGGTGTCTTAGACTCCCCCTGACTTATAAAACCTTGAGGAAGCTCCATGTATATTTCATCAAGAAGGTCACCTTGTAAGAATGCATTGTATACCAGTGTTATCAAAGGTGAAAAGCGCAAAAAAACTCTAAGGTCCGTGGGGGCTTTAAGCGCAAAAAAGCTCTAAGGTCCGTGGGGGCTTTAAGCGCAAAGCGTAAATAAAGCGTAAGTTTTAATGAAAAAAGGCGCAAAGGGAGAATAAAATAGAAATGTATATGTTTAGTCCAATACTAATAATTATAAACATGAATGACAATATATGACCAAAGAAATTGAAAAAAAATTATGATAAAGTGAAATATCAATTGTTAGTGTCAATTCTTCATAAGAGGCTCGTTGGCAAGGAAAAGTTTGTCTTAGAATCTTGATGACGACGCTAAAGCACACATAAAGCGAGGTGAAGCGCTCAACATGTTTTGAGCCTCACTTCAGGGCTTAAGCGCGCCTTTGATAACATTGTTGTATACATACATTTGATGTATATGCCAATGCTTGACTGCAGCAATAGCTAGAACAGACCTGACAATTTTCATTTTCACTACTGATGAAAATGTTTCTTGGTAGTCAATCCCTTCCTTTTGACTATAGCCTTTGGCAACCAACCTTGCGTTAAACCTTTCAACCTCTCCAGATGCTTGTAGTTAACTTTGTAGATCCATTTACAACCGAAAGATCTCTTTCCTTTAGGTAGAGGAACTATATCCCAAGTAATGATTACTCTCTAATGCCTCAATTTCTAGTTTCATTGCATCCACCCAACTTGGATCTTTAACAGTCTCACTATAATTTGTAGGTTCTATATGGAAGAAGATTTGGCTATGAAAGCTTGATATCTAGGAGATAGATGATAATAGGTAATATAGTTGGACATAGGATAGGGAGCCTCCTTATGTACAGTCATGGACACAAAGTCCTTCAACCATATCGGTGGATTCCTTTCTCTACCTGACTTCCTAGTTTCAGATTGAGAGTTTCCTATGGACAGAGGTTGAGTAGTGACCACTGGCTCTACATCCGACTCAGGTACAACCTGTGATTTTGAAGACTGTCTTAGTACAATCCGAGTGTCTGTACTTGGGCCAGAGGATTACACGTTTTGCCTTTGAGAGTTGTAGCAGGGTGTCTCATAGATATGACTGTAAGGATCTAATGGGGGAAACAAGATGTGAGTAGTAGGAGATTGACTTTTGAAGGGAAAAGTGTCTTCCCTAAATATGACATCCCTGCTTCAAACAGATTTTTTGTGTATATATCATATAGAAGATATCCTTTCTGAGTTGTAGAATATCCTATATGGATTGCCATCCTAGATCTAGGTTGTAACTTGTCAGCCTCATTGCGAATTTTTGCATAACACAAGCATCAGAGAACCTTTGGATGAGTCAGAGAAGGTATTTTATTGTATAAAACTTCATACGAAAACTTGTTTTGCAGGACTGAACTAGGAAGTCTATTGAGTAAATAAACAGCTACTAACACACGTAGTCCCCAGAACTTTATAGGTATTTCAGCCTGAAACCTGATGGCTCCAGTCGTTTCAAGCAAGTGCCTATGCTTCCTCTCAGCCACCCAATTATGCTAAGGGGTATACGCACAACTTGTTTGATGAACTATGCAAGTTTGTTGAACATGTTACCACATGCTGAGTTTACAAACTCAGTTCCATTGTCTGACCTTACTATTTTAACCAACTTATCAAACTGAGTTTGTACTTGAGTTAGAAACTGTTGAATCACTACACACACATCAAACTTTACTTTCAGCAAAAATACCCATGTCATTCTAGTAAAATCATCCACCACAGTTAAGAAGTATCTATGATCATCAAAAGTATTAAATCTGTGAGGACCCCACATTATAGATTAGGACTACTACATGTTACACTAGGTTGTGTCCATCTTCAGATCAAAATAATACTCTTTCACCCAAATTGGATGACCTGCCTATTATTCTTGAATTTGACCGAACCTTTTTAAAATCTTTTTTTATCTATCAAGTTTGTGTTGAAAATAATGTAGTTGATTCCTGTATTCAAACCAAAAGTTGCTCAATCCAAACTTGGTAAGCTGAGCTACATCATCTGTTACTGGAAAGGGGAAATAATGAGTACTGAAGATTCATCTGCTTCTTATACTGAGTTACTATCTATTAAAAAAAATGGAAGAGTGTATTCAAGAATAATTGCAATGTACTATGGTGGCAATATCTTATCCAAAAAAAAAAAGGTTTATTGTGTGCAATGTATTTAATTCTTGGAAGCTACTGTATATTAATTGTTATAAATGGGTGGCACACTACATTAACCATTTAACTGTATAGAACTTGCAAAGTTTTCTTTTAATGTTTTTCTATTGATGTTAATAAGAAGAACGAAAGCTACATTGATCATAATGCGTTTTGTCAAATTTGCTGGATTATAGCTTGGACGCCTTCCATTGTGTAGCTGATGTACAATTAGTTTGTCTTGGGCACCTGAAAGCTTCTACTATTAAATATAGTTTGTGCATTCATGTGGGAACTTTTGACTTAAATTATATGTAATATCTCAAAGGAGGACAGAAGATATAAGTGTTTTTGTGCCACAAATCTCTTTTCTTTTTTTTCTTTTTTTTTTGCTTCTGGCTTATGATATTTGAACTTACATGATTTTTTTATTTGTATTTATTTCAGTTGATTATCCAAGGCTTGAAGATGGAAAACAGTATAAAGGATGAACTCTACTCTGACATTTTCGATATGTCAAATCTTCAATCAAGTCTTAGGCCGACTACCAATTCTGGGAACAATGATTCACATGGTATGAACTTCAGCTGATTGCTTCAAGCTGATAATGAAAATTAGAAATGCATTTTGCTATTAACATTTGAATATCAAATTGCTTACCATAATGTGGTGCTCTTATTCCTAGATTGCATATTTGTTGGAATAACTATCAAAGTGGAAGACTAAAGGTCTTCATTTACATCTTAAGAAGTCTTATTCTAAAAGGTCTTCTTCACTGGCTACTCTCAGTAGATCTGGATTGATTAACCATTGTTCTTTCCCCTCTCCTTCGCCTTCCTTTGTTTGCCAAAGATTATTCAAAACTTAAAGAACTATATTATCTCTCCTATCCTTCCCTATTTTCTCGTTTCAAACATTATTAAACCTCTGATCGTGATTGTGAATAAATAAGTTGGTTAAATGCTGCTAAGCGGAGATGTTCTCTTATCTATGTATAGTTTTCTTGGTTAGGATCTCTCCTGTACATAGTTTGGTTGATAGTGCTGACTGCAGTTAACATCTAATGCCAGAGAGCGAGTGGTGCGACGATGTGTGGAGTGATGATGGTGATTTGTGCCATGATTCTAGTGGTAAACTGGATAAAACATCTGAAATGGACAGGGAATGGCAGAGGCGGCATGACCAATTCCACACTGTATCCTTACAAGTTTAATCTGATTTATAGCATCCAGAAAACAAAACTAGATGTGTTCCTTTTGGTTGCAAATTCAATTTGTATTTGGAATTCCTGATGAATTATTAGGTCGGATACCGTGATGGTCTTATAGCAGGGAAAGAAGCTTCAGTTCAAGAGGGATTTAATGTTGGTTTTACAGACTCTGTATATGTTGGTTACAACTGGGGTCTAGTCAGAGGTATCACTAGGTAAGTATATGCATTGCATACATGGAATTCATAGAGAGTTGAGTTTGTGTACCAACTAGAAATTTTCTTCGTGCCATTTTGGATTTAAATTTGATGTTTTCTCCTTTTTTTTCCCTCTTTGAAGCGCTTTGGCCTCTCTTCCCAACGGCTTAATAGAAAGAATGGTTGATACAAAGGAAATCCAGAACAAGTTCCAGCACTTACATGAGTCTGTGCAATCTCGTTCAACTGTGGAAATGCTTAAGGTGTTCCATGATTATCTGACAAAGAAATTGGAAGAGAGTGCTAAAAATGACAACTCTAGCTCCTGCTTGGCTGATTCCAGCGACCTCAGTTCCAATGACAATCTTCTTGAGAATTACCAGAAAGAGCTTCAATTACTTATTGATGAATCAGGGCTCAAATTGCACGTAGATACAAAGAAGTAGCTTTTCCTTTTCCTGCTTAGCTCATTGAAGTCACTTCTAGTTTTCATCACAATCCATGAAAATTGCATTCAAAAAGAAAAAAAATAGTACACTTGAATGCATAGTTTGTAGATAGAATATTTCTATTTTCCAACATTGTATGTGTGGTTTTAGTTAAATGCCTTTTCAGGTGATAGTTTGGTTGACTTCCACTTTTATGTGGTTAAGAGTGTTAAACTCCGAACTTTTCATTTTCTCAATAGTTTATTTTTGTTAATTCCAGCTTTTTTGGAATCATAAGTTGATGAAGTGTCTGGTGAAAGTCCTTTTTTCGTGCTTTCCCATCTGGTGTTCGGAGCTCGCATTGAAGCCCCGACTAAATTTGGATCGTGCACTGTAGGCGTCTACCCGAGACCTCTGGTTAATGGTGAAGCAATCCCACTACTACACCAGAAGTCCACAACCCATGTTGGTGAAAGTCCTTAACAAACTTTGGCCTGATTGATTAGAGAAATCAAATGGGTTTCTGTACTATTCAAACAAATTTTTTGGTCTAAAATTTGAATGGATTTGACTCTGAAAATTGGCTATAGGAGTTAGGTTTTGAAATTATTTTGCAGCTCTATTTGCTTTTTTACGTTTTTGTATTCTGCTGATCTTTTGTATTTGCATCAGCATGCTGTATTAGAATCTAAGTTTAAACAACAAAGCTTTAGAAAAAACTTTACCAAGACGTGAATGGGGATATTAGATAAGTGTAGTAACTCTATTTTTTGACCTTTTCAACTTAGAAACCAAGTGTTGAAATGTAGTCCCTTTGAAAGAATGCCTGTTAACATCTCTACTGAGATAACTACAACATCAAGGCATTTGGAATGTTGCTGGAAAAGCAATTTGACGCAATCAAATTCATCCAGATCATGTGGTTTGTACAAATCTGTCTTCACTGAGCATGGTTGTTCTTTATCTCTTTATTTGTTCATTATAGTAGTTTCTTTAATTTGGTAAAGAAAGTAACTATTCGTTATGTCCATGGAGATGTGCATATAGCTGTTTTGTATCTTTGTCAAACAGTGGCAGCAAAATAATGGAACCCAAAAGCACTAAATCACCAAGTGGATTTTCATTATCATTTGATCAACTACTAGCTGCTCCAACCAACTTCAAAGAAAAAAAACAAAACTTTACAGCCCACATCAACAAAAAAGGCGCTTTGGGTCAGCTACCTGGCTTCTGCTGCAGGTTCTGTTTATTGGTTAGTGTTTTTGCTGCTTTGCTTTGATCAATGTGGTTCAAATCAAGTTTGTGACTTTGGGATGTGGGAGCAAGAATACATATGGAGTTGTTAGACCACTTGTCATTTTTCCTTTTTTTTTGTCCTTGTATGAGTTATCGATCTTTAGGATTTGGCGGGTGAACAATGATCAGTTGGATTCATGAGAGAGTAGTATCTCCAACTTGAGAGAATAGTATCTGAAACTAAGTGATCTTTAGGAGAAAAAGCTAAAAGTTTTGTGATAGTAAATAACTTTAGCTAAGATGCTGTTGTTTCGTCCATATACATGGAGCAGTTAGTGTTTGAATTGTTCCTACTCTTCGATGAACTCTACAATCTCTTCTAACCAATATTTGAGCTGTTAAATTCAATTTGCTCAGTAGTGATTACTGGTTAAATGCATGTCAAAAGCATGTTATTGGCATATTTCAGATAGTAGCTGAGATGATAGTTGAAGATAATGGTACCATAGCATGTCAGGATACATATAAGAAATATTAGCCAACTATAGATAAAGCCATAGATTGAAATACATAAAACCTTTCACAGCAGTACTAAAGTATGTGTAGGCATAATCCTCAGGAATCAAGCACACTAGAAAGCTCTATTACAAAGTACTTGAGATTCCATGATGATGTTTTCCACCATCTAACCCCAATCGATTCCTTTAATGCCTTTAAGCTGAAATCCTTGCACATGTTGGAGGGTTGTGAATTGTGAGCAACAAGCCAGTTGTTCCTGGACGAAAGATTGTCTTACTAGCTCCGCGCTGATGTCCACCTATGCCACAATGGAAGTATGTGTTCATTGTAACTCATCTATGAAAAATATTCTGTGTATTCAAGATTTCATCTAGTAGCTTGGTTATGACATAGGGACAGAATTGAATTAAATGGTATGAGTTTTGTACTGACCTGGAACTAGCATCAGTTGCAAGCCTGAATTGGTCTAGGATGTGTGAATCCTGATGCGCTGCGCCTGAGGTGAGGTTCCCATTTAGATGTTGGCAATACTGTTTCAAAAGCCTCCACGAGCAATGCAACCTTTCTCTTGCGAGCTGGTGCAAGTTTGTCCACTGCTCGTCGGAGTGCGAAATCAAGCATCCAGTCCTCTGCATTTTTCCTGTCATCCATCATCTGATGCTTGAGATCAACTTTCTCTGCATCTGGATCTGGCTCCAGTGGCAGGAAATTTGGTGGTCGTGGATTGAAGTCTCTTGACTCCTCTGGCTCCTTAGTGTCATTGCGCCTGGCTATGCCTCTCAGGTTTATGTACCTCTCAGACATTTCTTCACTCGAATCATATTTTGCATGTGTCTTCTTATCTTTGATTTGGTTCTGCTTTTCCACACATGCCTCAGCTGTTTGATCCACTTCAACACCAGCTGCATTTTCACTTCCATCTTCAGCTTGATGGCTTGTACAGTCTTCAGAGGCGTTTTCACTTCCATCTTCAGCTTGATGGCTTCCATCACGCTCGTCCTTGAGATCTGCCTCTACTACCAACTGTTGAGCATTATTGCCATGACCATTTTCATCTCCTTGTTCACAGACAATCTGTTTTATTCTGTATCTTCCATCTTGACAACAATGTTTTCATCCGAACGTTCTTCATTATCCTTATAGGTTTCATCTTGCACTTCATTGAGATAGCAAACATTGAGCTCTTGATAGCCTTTAAGTGCAGCATCATCATCTTGAGGAGTTACGCATTCTTCGTGAGAAGTTGCAGTTTCATCTTCTAGACAGAAGGTTTCTTCTGCCTTAACAGCAGCCTGATAATCCATTGTTGCTGTCTCACTATCTGTACCATCTAGAATCAAATTGACATCTAGAGAGATAAGTGTAGTGTCCTCAGACACTTCAACATACTCATCAATGTCAAATTCTGTATGCGAACAGATAGATTCGGAGTCAGCATAATCATAACTTGTTCCAGAGATGATACTTTCTTTATCAAATGACTCTTCCAGAGTGTTGTCAGATAGAAGTTCAGGATTAGATGATTTTTCATTGAACTCCTCGCTGACAACTGGATCATCAACCAATGTGATGGGATCTATATCATCTGAGATTGAACCAGTTTCGTCTTCGCTAAATGCATAGTACTTCTCAACATCCCAGTCCATATCAGAAGCTTCATATTCCAGCTCTTCTGCTGCTGCTTCTATCTCTATTTCAGTATGCATACTCAAGGATTCAATATCCACTTCCTCTTGAACCATGTCATTAGCACCTTCATTCGGATTCTCTGCAGGACAAAAGCCAGAAGTGTTGATTTCTGCTGAAATAGCTTTCCTATTTTGATCAAGATTGTCCTCGGTATCATCTGCTGCCACTTCACTGCTTTCACCAGAAGGTACAAGATCAGTGACAGAAGAATCAATGATGTAATAATCATCTACCGAGTTGGTCTCTTCCTTTTCGTTGCTATAAATTTCGACAAAAAACTCCTTGTCATCTTCATTTGTCAGAGGAGCTACCTTCTCTGTAGTACTCTCTATTTGTTTTGGCACATTATCATTCAAGCCTAATCCACTAGGATTAGCTCGACGAGGAGAGACACATCCCAACTTGAAACTCCTCTGATTCTTCAACATACGCCTTCTTGCTGACAAGAAACACTTCAATGGAGGCAAAGGAGGGTGATGATGACCATTAAGAGAGCAATATGTATATGGACAAACCTTGAAAACAGAAGTTCCATCTGATTCTGTTCCTCCAGGACTAAGTTCAAGATATGAAGGAAACTTAACTTCTTTCAAAGTTGATGAACATGTAGCCCTTTCTACTTGGAAATCATCATACATAACAATAGGGGAACATGATGAAACTCTTGTTGGTTTAAAACTAGGAGTTCTAGCTAATAAACTCCTTATTGGTTTATTAACAGAACTAGCTGAGCCTAACTTTGAGTTACTTGAATTCTTTCTACTACAACTTTGTGAATAAGTTTGAAGGCTCCTTGAACTTACCTGAGATTGCTCTTTCCTTGCAACAGAACTGCTTGTGGACTTCATATAATTTGGAGTACATATTGATTGCTGTTGTTGCTGATTCTGATTCTGATTCTGACGCTGACGCTGACGCTTCGTTGGTGTTGATGAGTTAGTACTAGTGGGTGGTTTGCCTGGCTGAGGTACATATTTTCTGAAATTTGGTGAGTGGGAGATTTCATATTCTAAGTGTTTGGTTTTGCCTGATTTCTTCATCATCTTTTTCTTGAGTTCAGCTTTTCTATTCTTGATGGTTTCATGGTTTTGTGATATAGGAAAAGATGGTTTGTGGTTCATTATTTGGTTGTTGGCTTTAATATGATCAGTTTTGATACCAAGCTTGTTGAGGACTTTTTTTTGCACCATCTTAATTTGGTTTTGGGAAAAGAAAGATATATTCCTTTCAAGGATTTATGGATTTGAGGTAGTGTTTCTTCTTCATGAGATAAAGAGAGTTTTAGTTCATGAAGAAAGGCTGTTTTTGAAATCTCAACTACCAGAGATTCCAAATGGTTTATTTGCTTTTGGTTTGTAGGCAGCCTTTTTTTTTTTTATGTTCTTGTCTTGCTTTCTTTTTGTGTGTGTATGTAGGTGGGGGTGGGGAGTGGGGTAGGGGTCTTCTTGCTTTTTGGTGTTTGATTTGTCATGTGGGAAATTTTTAATGTTACAACAACGACATAATCAGTATAATCTCACAAATGAGATCTGGTGAGTGTAGAGTGTACGCAGAACTTATTCATATCTCGAGGAGGTAGAAAGTTGGTCAAGTGCAACAAATCAAAGTATTTATGAAAAGAGGGAATAACATTTTCAGTGTAATTCCACAAATGGGTTTGGTGAGGATGGAGTGTACATAAAACTTATTCATATCTCGAGGAGGTAGAAAGTTGGTCAAGTGCAACAAATCAAAGTATTTATGAAAAGAGGGAATAACATTTTTAGTGTAA